TACCAATAGAACAGCTAACACTAAAGAGAAAAACCCTTCGTATTACACAAAGAAATCGTTTATTGCTAATGAGATCCTGATTCCCAACCCTACGGTATTTACATATCGCAGTTCATTCGGTATCCAAAAGCTTGCTCCGATTATCATGACCTCCGTGATAGATGTCGACTGCTGACGGACAGACTTACATCACAGGGTTTCCATGATAGATGTCGACTGCTGACGGACGGACTTGCATCACAGGGTTTCCATGATAGATGTTGACTGCTGACGGACGGACTTGCATCACAGGGTTGATAGAAGACTTAGCACTGGTTTTATGGTCAAAGTCATGTTCTGATGGGTATTTCTTTGTGTGATATAAAGGTTGGTGTCTTTTATTGTGGTGTTAGTGTCACTGCCAGAGTTCTCTGCTTAAGGTTGTGACATTACTTGGGTTTTACCTACTTACAAGGTTAGTGTTTAGTCGATGCAACATAACACGCTTAAATATCGGGAAAAATTCTTATTATATTCTTTGCACTTTTTCAAAATTTTCCTTTTATATTTTGCCCTTGTTCCAATGATTTTGTGTTCAAATGATCGTTTCATTGATACTTCGGTATTCTCCTTGGGTTTTTTCCATACAGAATATGCTTTATTTGTTCATCCTTCTTGCGGGAAAACAAGGGACTTAATGAAATTTATTAAAGATAAAATTGGGTTTATGATTTAATTCCTAGTTGACAGCATCTGTGTTGAGATCGGCGACAAGATTTTCCAGCAGAAAAAGTTACATAACAGGGCTTCAAGAAATGCAGCTTCATGAATTTTTATGGTCAATTTTTTATGATTTCTTTTGGAATTTATGTTTCCTTCTATGATATGAAGGTCAATATCTTTGACTATTCTCATCAGTATGTCTTGTGAATACATTTTCACTACTTCGGATCTCGCTGTGAAAACATTACAAATTTTGATTAGGCCTAAATTCACATGGCCGACGTTGTCGATGAGTAAGAACGTATAATGGTCGCCAGTTATTTCTACTGAACATACTTTGTCATGTTTCACAGAGATTTAGTTTACACTACAGTATTCTCTCCTCCTTGTGACACAAATGACCTTATTTGTCCTGTAAATTTCGAATGAACTTGTATGGCTATTTAATACTATAGCTTGTGGACTTTTTGACCGTGTAATGCGATTTTAGCAAAAAAGCTGGCTGGACATCAAAATGCATGCTTGAGCATGAGAACAGTTTCAGGAATACAGGTCAAGATCGCTCACACAAACTGCTGAAAAATAACACGTGTGTAGAATAATGTTTATCTTAGTTTTTAATTCTTTTCAAAGGTAAAATGGATTCCAACAAAATCCAAATAATCAAAATTATCACATGATCTGACAATAGCCAATTAAATTATTTAACACAACAATGATCATGAAGCTGTGCCACTTGACTCAAGCTCAATAATAAACACACTATCATTCATAGCGTTGTATGTCAATACAGCAGACGTACTCACATTCCTAGGCACATATCTCAATACTTTACATGTAGTCATTTCTTATGGTTGAAAATTGTATAGAAAAAATAATCTCTTATTTGATGAAATTAGGTCACTGCATTTAACTGATGGTAAATTGATTAGTTCAGTATTTCTATGGCACATCAATGCTTGAATAACGTAATAATAATAATTTTACTAGAACAAGATTTAACCTTAATGGAGACATGTTTACTATCGTAGAAATGAATTTATTATTGCTAAACAGAGCCATATCTTTATTAAGCAGTTTTATTTAAGATAATTTGTTTTCATCAAGTTTTCTCCATCTACTAACAGATTATTTTAATTTGTGCTTCATTTCTTTGTAATTGTAAAAAACAAATCTGACACAGAAAAATACTAAAAGATCAATTATGTACAAAAAGTGTAAGTGCGAGAAATGTGTCAGGGACTGCTTGATTAATTAAATAGAGAAGAAGGAATTGTAAAGGTCTGCTGTATAGATACACATGGAACTCAAACATACTCTATAATCTACTAGGCTTTTAACCACACAAGCACACAAATTATATGGAATATTGGCACACATATATAGCATCTTACAAAATATTACCATGGCAACGCACAAACTGTTAACATCAACAAATACAGTGTGTGTGTGTGTTGAGTATTGTCTATTGAAAGTCAATCATTATAACTTAAAAGTCAAACTACATATATCTACCTTTAATCATTCCAACTACTTACATGTACTCAACATTCCTTCATCTTTGCTTTTACAGCTTCTGTAAATGATATTTTTTTCAATAACATATTCCTGTGGATCTGGACTCACAAAAGGAACAACAGCTACCCTGAGTTCCTTTTTTGTGTCTGAATAAACAAGATATCTAACCTCACACTCTATGCTCCTTATGAATAAAGAGCAATATAAATGTACGGAGAATATAAGTAATACTGAAAATTGTTCAAGAGGAATTGAAAATTCCAGTTGTTGCAATTCATGCATACAATAACAGGAAATCTGGTAATGTCTGCCTATGTATGAAAACGATGACCAGATCATTCAGAACAAGATTCATTAGTTTGGTATGAATAATTATCGCTAAGTTTGTTTTTAACACAAACAGGAATTGAAAACCTATTTTAGCTAAATAATAAATGTGCAAGTTTTCAATTCCTGTTTTTGTTAAAAAAAACTTAGCTTTTATAATGACCAGACTAATATATGATTTTCATTGGCCATGAGCTGAATATCAGGTGTGATCAGATATCATCTAGTTCGTTGACAGGTATGACCTGCATATAAAGATAAGACAGGTTTTCTCTGAAATCAATTAAATACAAAATAAATGGACCATTTGAAAATTTAAGACAAACAAGATACTTTAAACATACTTATTTTAGCGCACTAAAATTTTAGCTTATTATCGAATTTAAACAGATTTGCGCATTGATGAAATGGCTCACCCTCAATACATTCAACAGAAAAATAACATACAAAATGTCAATGAGGGCAGCCATATCTTAGCTCAATAATAAAAGCTCAAAAACACAACTAAAATAAGATAAACGCTAACATTTGTAGACTTACAGTAGATATTTTAATGACACGTACGTTAGAACCTGATGATGTTGAGTTGCTTACCATTTAAAGCAGGCTGGAATAGCTGAACATATCACATAAATAAAGCACTTATTTACAAATGCATGTGTTGAGTTCTCTAAGCATCATACTTTGAAACTGAGCTAGAAAACTTTCATTTAAACATTGAGAAAAAATACCCAAGTTCATAAATCTGACTGTCCTACAAATTCAGGTAAATTATTATTTCTTTAGACTCTGGAGCATAACGTTAAAACCCAATTGTAAGTTTTGAAAAATGTTGTTGAGTTTTAGGCTTTCCTAATACATTGGCCCTCCTGACACATAGAGGGGGTGGACCATACTGAAGACAAAGGAGACGAACATCTTGTAATATCTCTTTACATAATAATTATCATTTTCAGTTATCTCTAATCAATACTATGTTATTCAAAAAATCTTTTTGGTATAATTACCAAACACATAATTTCAAACTAAAGGTAGCTAGAACACTGACAGGTCAGTAAGGGCCCCGTCTTGTGGCAATATATTCCCCATAATCATCAAGAAGCAATCTGCCCATAAAGCTGAGCTTGACGTTTGACATTTGGACTTCAAAAAGGAATCCCAAGGAAGCAAAATATACATTTTACATGAATTATGATGTGAGTCTTGTTTCCTTTCTTGACTTTTGGACCCAAATGACTTTGACCTTTAACCCAGATCTTTGGTCAGTTGATTTATTCTTTAATTCCAACCAACTTTGCTTCATAATATCATAACAAATGTTCATCAGTGAAAAATACAAAACTTGACCCTGACCTTGAACTTTTGGACCACATAAGTTGGACCTTTGGTCAGTTGACTCTGTGTTAAGTTCTGAACAACTTTGCTTCATAATAACATAAAAAAAAATGTTCATCATTAAAAAGATACAAAATTTGACCTTGACCTTTGACCCAGTGACCTTGACCTTTGGTCAATTGACTCCTAGTTTAATTATGAGCAACATTGCTTCATAGTGTCATAACGAAATGTTTACCAGTGAAAAGATACAAAATTTGACCTTGGCCTTTGACCCAGTGATCTTGACCTTTGGTCAGTTGACTCTTTGTTTAATTCTGACCAACACTGCTTCATAGTGTCATAACAAAATGTTTACCAGTGAAAAGATACAAAATTTGACCTTGACCTTTGACCTAGTGATCTTGACCTTTGGTCAGTTGACTCTTTGTTTAAATCTGACCAACTTTGCTTCATAATGTCAGAAAATGCTCATTAGTGAAAAAGATACAAAATTTGACCTTGTACTTTGGCCCAGTGACCTTGACCTTTGGTCAGTTGACTCTTTTTTTAATTCTGATCAACTTTGCTTCATCATGTCATAACAAAAGGTTCATCTGTGAAAAGATACAAAATTTGACCTTGACTTTTGAACCTAATGACTTGACATTTGACCTTGACTTTTTACCTCAGTGTATCTCTTTGTTTAATTCCGACCGACTTTGCTTCATAATGTCATAAAATGCTCATTAGTGAAAAACTACAAAATTTGACCCTGATCTCTGACCTGATGACCTTGACCTTGGGTTAGTTGACTCCTTGTTTAATTCTGATCAAGTTTGCTCCATCATGTCATAACAAAATGTTATTCAGTGAAAAAGATGCAAAAGTTGACCTTGAACATTGAACCTAATGACCTTGACTTTTTACCTCACTGTGTATTTTTGCAAACTGAACATCTTGACCAAGTTTCATGTAAATCAGTCAATAAATACCAAAGTTATCAGCCAGGAACAAAGTTTATGGACGGACAGACAAACAGACAGAAGGACCGACAGACAGTGATTACTATCGACCACATGTATTGGAAATAATAACATAAACATATTGTTAATAGCACTACTTGTACAGGTGACCCTATCATAACAAAATATTATGATAATTTATTTAGCAGTACACAATTAATTTCGCCTTTCACATTCAATGAATATGTCCTTGATGTCGTTAACTAAAGTTTGCTGTTATGATAAATTCGCCTAATTCCAGAGGACGAACAAGGCGAAAATCAAACTGGAGGGACAATTTCCTGGTATACAGTATATATTGTCTGTCTTCTACTGTCAAGATATGTTTAGGAAGTATTCTGCACTATTCCTTGTAAGTCACAGTGTAAAAATGAGTAAGATGCTTGGAAAATAATTCCAAGGATAGGAGAGATATTTTCTAACAACTTGAGCTGTGATATACACACAGACTCAGCTTATGGAGAAATGCTGACATTATTGTATAAAAGTTAGATACATGGCAAAAATACATTAGCATCGTTTCAAAGCACAACACTGTTCTAACACATCATTGGACAGAAACGATCACATAACAGATATCATAAATGCAAATTACACAATAAAAGTATGGTATTTCTTTAAAATAACATGTATTAAACATTTATGTAACACTTAACTAATTTTGAAGTATTGAAATTTATAAGGTCAGTTGTAACATTATTTCATTTAATCTTCTTGAAATACAGGTTGCATTTATGGGTGGAAATATTTGATAGGTATTGCCTTGTATGTATATTTCAAATGAATGAAATAGGGTTTTACTTTGTACATATATTGTAACTGTTTGAAATATTAAATAGGTTTTACTTTGTGTGTATATGTTATTGGGTAAAAAGTTCAAAAGGTACAACTGTATTAACTTGTGTGTACATTGATAAAAAATACTTTGTGCCAATATTGTAAAGTGTGAAATGTCTGATATGAATTACATTGTGAGTATATTGTAAGTGTGTAAAATCTTTAATAGACATTGTATTGTGTACATTGTGGGTATATTGTAAGTGTGTAAAATCTTTAATAGACATTGTTTTGTGTACATTGTAATTGTCCAAATTGCTTGATAGGAATTACTTTGCATGTGTAATGTAACTGTATAGCAGGTTGTAAAATTTTTACTTTAATACATGACTTAATTAAATTCAGAATTGTGAGTCAAAACACTATCACCCGAGAGCCCATAACTGCAACATTTGCAGTAAAATTGTGGAGGGTTGAGGAGGGGGAGGGGGTATTTAACCCCTCAGTCTCTGGAGGGTTGAGGAGGGGGAGGGGGTATTTAACCCCTCAGTCTCTGGAGGGTTGAGGAGGGGGAGGGGGTATTTCACCCCTCAGTCTCTGGAGGGTTGAGGAGGGGGAGGGGGTATTTAACCCCTCAGTCTCTGGAGGGTTGAGGAGGGGGAGGGGGTATTTAACCCCTCAGTCTCTGTATAATAAAGTGTATGGCAGATGGACAACCAACAGGTGCATGATTCAGATTATTTCAAACTATTTTATTGGAAACTGTTAAGAGTTTGACACTTCACTCCTATGTAACCTTACAGACTCTACCGTGAATTTATCTAGATGAGTCCATTACGGTCTACATTGGTGAAAGGATCAAAAGTTATTCCACAGAGAATTATACTTGAAGAGTACAAGTCCATTCATTACAAATGTTAGTTCTAGATGGCAAATACTCTACTTCCCCATAAACATTAAATGTTTTGGATGTTATGAAAGGCAAAAATTACTGTGTACGGATTGATTAAAATGTAATAATACAATTTTTTACAAAATGTGACTTTATATAAAAGCTGGTGAATACATTAGACAGTTGAATTTTGTCAAACAAAATGTTCCTCATTTTGTTTCTAAAGCTATGTGATCAAGTTATAGAAGATATAAATCAGTTCCCCTCCCTCCCAGAGAACAGAGACTTTCTGATTGAGTAATTGCCATTTTGTGGTCAATCGTATTTAACACTGCCATAGACTTGTAAAAAGACTGGAACAGCATTGACAGTTAAACATTTAATGCTATTAGTAAGTGATTCATATTCTTTTCCCTGATCATAGCAGCTCATAATGGTACCACTCTTTATTGGGTATTCTGTGATTGAAAGATAATATCAAGAAAAAAGCAGTTTTAAAGTAATGCCTACAAAACTGAGCATCATCTCGTCGCCATCAAAACTGATCCTGAATACATAGAGGAACTGGGTTTCAAAACCCAAACCTGTGGAGGTATGTCATTCTTAGCCAATGAAAACTGTTGTTACATCTATATACAGCTGCTTCACTGTAAGGTGTCTGTATCTCATACA